AAGTTCAAACTGCAGAAGATACACGCGTGCACTGACCTTGGTGAGCTGTGCCACTACTTCGGCTTGCAGATCACCAAAACGAGAGCCGCTCGCACGATCACACTCAATTGGTCACACAGGTGCAGCAGGTCCTTCGGCGGTTCGGGATTCAACAACTCCACTACACAGCCCACTCTTCTTGCCCGTTGACCACAGACACACCGGCCCTTTTCCCGACAACGGTTCTTACGCATAGCTTGTCGATTGTCTCATGTACCTGAAGACTTTTACTTGTCCGGACCTCGCCTTTCCCCTCAGCGTCCTCTCTCGCTTTGTTGCGACTGGGAGACACCGTCCTGTTCACTGGACAGCTGAAGTAAGGGTGGTGAAGTACCCAATGACTACATCGGGCACGGGGCTTGTGCTTGGAGGGACACAGCCAGTTGTTCTTACATGCCACTGCGACTCTTCCTACACCGAAGACGTGGAGACACAGAAGTCTACTCAGGGATGTTGCTTTAGCTCAGGCGCTGGAGCTGTGTCGTGCAGGTCTACATGGTCGCCTTGTGGCCTTTTGCTTGTGCTCAGACTTTGTGCTGGCTTCGTGACCGACCTTTAGCTTGTTGTGTTTCTACTCTAAACTGATCTTGTGACCACTTGTTTTTAGTCCGGCTAGTACATGTACAGCACGCGATCGAGCTTGCTTTGCAGGAGGGCGTTCTTCATGTCGAGTTGCATCAGGTTGAGGTCGAGGACGGCGACAATGCTGAGGAAGATCCTCAGCGTGACATAGCTGCTCACCGGCGCGTACGTCTCGTCGTAGTCAGCGCCATACACCTGCGTGAAGCCCTTCACGACCAGCCTCGCTTTCTCGCGCTCGACGGTGTCGTCGATGTGGTACTTCGTTGTCAACACCCACCGGTTCTTCATGATGTTGACCCAAGGTGGGCGTTCGACCAGCTCCCACGTCCCCATGCCGATGAGGCTGCGGATCTCCTCCTCCATGGCGGCCTTCACCGCCGGACCCTTCCAGCTCGCCAGCGCCTCCTTCACCGTCATTGCTGAGATGTCCCAGCGGTGCTCGGGGTCGGCGTACATGTTGGGGTCGAGATCCGGCAGGTCTTCGTCCTCCTCGGAGTCGTCGTACAGCAGGTCGTCATCTTCGTCGACCACGTCATACACCGTGGTGAAGGCAGCCGGGACGAAGAAGTCGGGAGGCCTCCGAAGTCGGCCTGTACGCCGTGGTCCAGCCTGGGCCTCTCCCACGTCACTGTCGGTGGACTCCTCGTCTTCCAATTGCTCCCCTTCATCATCCTCGCCGTCCTGCTGCACCTCCGTTGGCGTTCCGACCGATTTCTCCCCTGCGGTCAGCTCCCCTGCCGACTGCCAGGTCGCCGACTGCTCCTGGGTCGGCCGCGCTGCTGCCTGCTCCCCTGTCGGCTTCACCCAAGTCGGCTGCACTGAACTACTCCTCTCCTATCCACGTCGACTGCATTTTCACGTCGACTTGCTGCTCGTTGCGTCGGCCACCGGCGATGCTCTTGGTCGGCGCCACAGGCGACGCCCCACTGCTCCCCTCATCGCCGGAGGCCAACGCCGGAGTCAGCCCACGCAGGTCGGCGACGAGGGGAGGGGCAGGGGAAGGGGAGGAAGGGTGGACGACCTCGGCGTCCTCATCAGCAAGCTCACCGACCTCGGCGAGCAGAGGGAGCGTTGCCGTCGAGGTATCCGTCGACGTGGTCACCAGCATCCGCCCCGACACCGGCCCATGCTCCGACTTCCACACCTCCAGCGACATGTCCTCGTAGAACACCACATCCGACGTGGTGACCACCCGGTTGTCGGCGATGTCGAGGAGTTCCCAGCCCTTGCTCTCCTCCGACACGCCAAGATGAAGGCCCCACTTGGCCTTCGGCTTCAGCTTCCCACCACGCTGCTGCTCGGGGACGAGGAACTGGGCCATACAGCCCCATACGCGCGCCAGCGACAGGTCGGGCTTCGTCCCGGTGAGAAGTTGGTACGGCGTCGTCCCCGGCGTCGCCGGCCTCTCAAAATAGTTGTGGACCCAGACGGCCTGCCGCAGAGCGAGGTGCCACCAGTGGTGCTGCACGCCCATGTGCAGCAGCATCGTCCGCACCGACTCCACCACCGTCCTCATCTCCCGCTCCGCCATGCCGTTCTGCTGCGGGGTGTATGGGCAGGTCAGGTCGTGGACGATCCCTTTCCCATCCACGAAAGTGGTGAATTCTTTGCCGTGGAAGTCCCCTCCTCGGTCAGAGCACAGCTGCAGCACCGACTTCTTCGACTGCCGCTCCACTAGCACCAGCCACTTCTGGAATTCTCGTAGAACGTCGGACTTCTTGGCGACCGGCCTCACCCACACGTAGCGGGTCTTGCGGTCCTTCAGCGGCAAGATGTAAAGGCTACCATCCTTGGCAGCCACCCGGAATGGCCCGCACAGGTCGATGTGCACGACGGCCAGCACGTCGTCGGCGTCGGAGCCCTGGTCGGGGAAGGTGTGCCGCGCCAACTTTCTGCCAACACACGAGAAACACGGAGAGTCGGTGCCCGATGTCGACTTGAGGTCAAGCCCAGTGGCGACCTCGTGCTTCGCCGAGCGCAGGATGGTGTCCATGCCGACGTGCGCAAGCCTCGTATGCAGTCTATCCGGCGTCGACTTCGTTGTCGAGACGATCGTCTGCAGGGCCACGGCCTCTTTCATGGCCGACGTCGACCTCGTTAAGCAGGGACGCAGGTCGGTGCAGAGGACTCGCCCGGTGTAGGACGCCCGACCGAGGACGTCTCCCGCCGCCGAGACGAGCAACATCCCGTCGCCGTCCTCCTGCAGCTTCACGCCGCTCTCCTCCAACTGGCCGGCTGACAGCAGGTTGGCCGCCACGACAGACGGCAAAGGAGGGCAGGGGACAACACAGGAAGGAATTGAGTAGAAATGATGTAAACATTGACTGGTTTTGTTGTCCAATTTGTGTTCTTCAAGACGATAAGCATTGAATGTTATGGATTCGAGATGTAGAAACTCCAGCCATGCCACTCTTGCCTTCGCCTATCGCATCTCATACACCCAATAGCTGCAGCACCGAATCCACCGCCTTGACCGTTGGCAGGAGGTGAACTACAAAATATGACGGTCGTCACGTTTTGAAGGCCGACAGCGCTAGGATCAACATAGATGTCATCTGACGGACGATCGATCGGACGATGACATCTGACGGTCCCCCCGTTTGCGCAGCCGTCGAAACGTGACGACCGTCACCTTTGTTTACACAGCCCGTTTGAGCATCTAAGGAACACGTACACTTCGAATGGAGAATCTGCAGTACACTGTACTGCAGATCTCGGCATTCTTCCTACATCTGATTATGGGCGCAGGTCTGCCGTTCCCTTTTCGTGGGAATGGAAACTGCCCAAGATTTTCCGTTTCTTCGCCCTCCATTTCCGTGTCAAGAAGAAGATGAATCTCGGGATTTCCTAATTTCCGTAGAAACCTTTCTTGGCAAATCAGTTCTAGGGTTTGCTCGTGTTAGGCCACCAGCGTGATATCGTATATGCTCGAAAAGGCGGTGAGGAAGCAACTCCGTTAAGGACCATCACCACTAGTTCACAACGACTAGACCTGATGTGTAGATCACTATCCTACGGTGAATTTCGTCGCGTGCGTTCCGTTAGATTCGGCAAGCACTCCGTGACGTCCGTTGCTTCCACGTGTCTGGTTCGCCGTTGCTTATTCGCTGTGCCTTCCCACGTTTTGTATCCAGATTTGCTCGCTAAACCTGGAGTTTGGAGGAGATTAGGAGGCACAATTTTCGAACCACACGATAGCAGCCACCACGCAACCTTCTAGAAGCCTCATTGCTGCCAATGTCGAGTCTACGACAGCAGAAACAAGGAGCAACAGTATTTAGGGCAGTTACTAGATTTATTCCAGCTGGCCGTTTAGTTGTAGAGGACAACCTCACGAAACTAGATGCTGCCATCGCTGCACCGCCTTTTGAGGAGATCTAGCAGTTTGGCATCCAATATTTTTTTGAGTGCTTTGATTTGAGCTGTTCGCTGTTGGCCGTTCGCGACGGACGAATCCCGTCGCGGAAGATGCACTTCACTAAAAAATCGATCGATATGCGTATCCACGGCATTCGGGATCAGTACTTCAGACCAAAGCCAGTTTTATTCGATGTCTGCCCGCCAGCTTACGCCACCGAGCATGTCAGCACTGGAGATAAGTTATTTTGGATAGCACGCCGATGGTCGAAAGACGAGCGGCAAGTGGTCGCGATAGTTTCTTCTTCTGACGAAGGCACTGCTGCAGTTCACTCGTTCCTAACTTACGCTGCCCATTTCTTAGATTCTGAATCTGAACTGTGACAAATTTTGCGGCTTCTGCACCTCACACGTGCGATTTTCTTCCAGCTTTTCAGGGGCGAGAGAGGAGGAAAAGGCGGTCGAGTTGAAGGGAGTGGGGGATGGACCACTTGAAAGTGGATGGACGGGGATGAGCGTGGATGAGCGGCAGAGTGAAGCGAGTCCTGAAAGGCGAGTACTAGCAGAGTGAGAAAAAGTGGTGGGAGACAATGAGTGGAGGGGAAATGAAGGAGTGAGTGGAGGGGAAGGGAGGGAGAGAGGGGGGGGAGTTTGAGGTGAGAGTGAGGTGACAGGCTGAGGGCAAGTGAGGTGCGCTTTCTTTCAACTTGTAAACGCCAGCTTATCCCGTCATCCAGATTCATTCGCGGGGGATTCCCGCTTTCTGATAACTCGCGTTTTGCTACCTGCCCTGCTCTTCTCATTTATCACGACTTTCCTGAACGGATTCCAGGAGGCCTTTGAGAATAGAGGTCCCTGGGCCCTTTCATTTCCTTCAGCGCGACTAAAACGCTGAGGCAGCGCCACAGATCCGTCTTCACTTTTTCTCTCTGCTGCAGCGACGCGGCGCCTCTGTTCCGCTCCATCCGCGCGGATATTCTGCCACGCTCGCCGTCATGTGCCGCCCGCGCTGGTCGCGCCTGATGGGTCTTCCGCGCGAGGCTCCGCGCGGGGGCCCGGACAACGCGCGCAACGCCTTCCGCGGAGTGCGCCAGCGCAAGTGGGGCTCCTGGGTGGCGGAAATCCCTCACCCGCGCCTCAGAACGCGCGTCTGGCTCGGATCCTTCCGCACGGCGGAAGCTGCTGCACGGGCGTACGACCGCGCTGCCCTCAAGCTCATGGGTCCAACCGCTGTTTTCAACTTCCCACAACCTCAGGCTTCTCCAGACGGCCTTGCACTGGGGCCTGAAGCTGCTCCTGAAGCTGCCCCTGCTACTGCCCCTGCTGCTGCCCCTGGTACTGCTGAAGTCGCTGCCCCTGAACAGGCCGAAGCACATCTCCTGACCGAAGCACAGAGCGGCCCAGACAGTAAGAAAAGAGCGCTGCATGTTGCCGGGGGGGAGGGGATGAGGCCCTTCATGCCGCCCGTTTTTTCCCCGATGTCCGAGTCGACTCAAGGAAATCAAGGGGACCTCTGCAGCAAGACAAGAGTTCCTCACGTTGCTGAGAGTGAGACAATCAGGGCCCTCACTCCACCCGTCGTCTCCCCGCTAACCAATTCAAGCGCAGCAGCAGGCGTTTCGGCGTCGCCTCTGCCTGCCGTGACAAACTTCGCTTCCCGTCTTTCCTTGTCTGCATGCCCCTTTAGTCCTGCAGCTGCTGACCCAACAGTTGGCACCCACACGAACTTCCCTGCTCTCACTGCGGTTGAGAGCGGTTCTAGAACTCCTGCTGCTGCTACTCCCACTACCCGTACCTGTGCCGGTGTCTCGGAGGGGCACGTGAGAGCACAGATGCTGCATCGGTTGCTGTCTCCTTCGCGAGACAACAGGAGGCCGCAGATGCTCACTCACGCAGAAGCCAGTGCAGTCGGCGCCACCACTGTCGTTGACGCTTGCCCAATCACTGCTGTTGGGAATAGGCTGCCATCCCTGCCTAGACATGTGCCAACCCTGCTGAGCCATCAGCCAACCCTGCCTGGCCATGTGTCGGCATCTGTTGGGATGCTGGTGGCTCTGGGTGCCAGAGTCTTGCTCAACACACTTGTTGCCGCTTCGGCTGCCCCTGCTGCTGCACTTGCTGCTGCTGCTCCTCTAGCTGCTGCTCGTGCTCTGACCGCTCCTGTTTCGTCTCCTGCTTCTTTGCCTGCTTCATCTCCTCCTGATGCTCCTGCTGAAGCCCCACCAGCACTGGCAGCAGCAATGCACAGAAGCTACTCGACCCTGCCCTACCCTCCCCCTTCACACCGTATCGTCTCATCCGCTTGCCTCTCAGAACCATTCCCTCCTCAGAACCGCAATGCAAGCCTTCACTCTGCCACCGCTGCTACCAGCAATACTGATGTTTCGAGAAAGAGATCATGGCAGCAGGCTGAGATGCCGATACAGTCACACCAGTCTGTTCGTACAGTCACACCAATGGATGGGCAGCTGAAGGCGCTTCTGCTGGAGTTGGAGGGGGAGGAGGAGAGTAGGGTAAGTGAGGCATCGTGGGCTGAGCGATCTAAGCAGGTTGAGACGCTGCTGTTGGAGCTTGAAGAGGAGGAGAGAAGGGTGAAGACGAGGGCCTGGGATGGGCAACCAGAGCAGGATCGGACGGTGCTGCCTGGATTGAACAGCCCTCAGCAAATGCAGTATGTGGTGCATGCAGCGTTGGAGCCAGTGGCGTCTTTTCCTCAGATGCACTCAGTGCAGCATGTTCACATGCTAGCTCTTCAGCACCCAGCACAGCATGCCTATGTGCCAGCTCAGAAGCACCCAGCAACGCCTGTTCACGTGCCAGGTCAGCAGCAGTCACACATGGGTGCCCTGCTGGACTCTCTGCTGCAGCAGCTGGAGGCAACACAGGAGTATGAGATGATGCTGCTGGCCCAGGCAATAGAAGCACAGAGGAGGGAGGAAGAGCGAGTTTCTGTTCTTCACCCTCTGGATTCGCCCGCGCTGCCCCGGTTTCAGCCGGTTTTGCTGCCTCCTTACGCATCACCTCTTGCGTCTTCTCATCAGCAGTCCGTGAAACCACTAGCGTCACACAATAATGTTGCTTCTTTGGAGCCCCACACTCCTACGCAATCTCATTTTCCATCGATGGGACGCATAGGTTCACATAGTGCGAGTGTTGAAGATTTCGAGCTGGATTTTCTGGCCGACATAATGAATACATGGAGTTGAAAAGCATGAGAAGAGTTGTTTTGTATGTATTTATTGTGGCTTTTTTATGGGTTTTTGAAACTTCGAATACCGTATATGTGCAGCTTGTGATATTGTTTCGAGTGCACATCCAGTGTAATGAATGTGCAATTCATTACTGTAGAACTGTCCTTAGCGAGGACAGCCCCGAGCAGTTCGCGTCAGTGTGGCTCGGCCTACACTTTCGCACCGAACCAGCCCCGAGTCGCCCCGCACCAATTGCGACATTCCCGAGCCACGCACATCGAGGTCCTCGCCTAGCACGGTTTCGACCCTATAAATGCTCGCTTCATTATCATTCTCAGGATTTCTGTAATTCTCATCCTTTTTATAAAGTCTTCCGCGCACTCTTCTTAGTACAACTCATAACACTTGGTATCAGAGCCTAAGTTCCTAGGTTCTCCATTTTTTAGAGTGTATTACCCCTCGGGGGGGGGGGGGGGGGGGGGGACAGGGAAGGATGCCGTGGTGACAGGAGTAGCGCAGTAGCCGGCCAGGAGAACGGGTAGTTGCTCCTAGCGGCCATGAATTTCTCTCGCGCTCCTGCGGCACCGACGGATCCTTGCCCTCGACGGTCAAGATCGACCGTGGCCTCCCTCCCCCCGGGTGGCGGACAGCTTTTGCTGTCGTCGCATTTAATGCGTAAGTCACTTGCATGGCGTTTTCGTCATTTTCAGAGTTAACGCTGTGTGGCAGCTGACGTCGAAGGGACCGTCGTCACTGCACGTCCGAGATCGACAGAGACAATCGGCGTGCGAGCTGCTTCGGCACGTGGCCGACAACTGCGCGCGACAATTTCGGAGTGGGTGCGTGCGGCACGTGGCGTCGGACGATTTCGTCACGTTGCGCACGAGAAATTCGGAGTCTTCGGCACGGGGTGATCGTCGTCACTGTGCGCGAAGATTTTGGGTGGCTTCACGGCAGAAACGACAGCTGGCCGGGCAGGCCAGGCGCATGGTGATTTGCGTCGGAAAATGCAGCGGTGAGGAGAGACGGCGCGACGACTGCCCGGAGAAAGCGGGGGTCTACCGTCGTTCTGCCCGGGTGCGGCCGGTGTGGCTGCAGGAGGGTGCGTCGTTGGCGTTTTCGGCAGGAGCGGCACAGTGTGGGACGGAAGTCGTTTTTCAATCCACCGAAAAGTTCGGGAAAATCCGCCTACGACTAGACTATATATCGCTAGGATCACTGCTGCACCTGCACCACGATCGGCGAAATTTTCGGAGCAACAAGCAGCAACCGACACTGTACTTCAGGCGGCACAGTACCCCCTGATCAAGGGTAGTTGCGCCGCAGACAGGGCAGTACACCAGCGGGACAACGTTTCGGCGCAGTGTTTAGACCCGCGATTTTCGGGGGTTCTACCTGCTACAATATACGGAATTGCGTCGAGTTCGGGCTTAGCGAGAGAAACGGGCCTCGAGCTTCAGGAGGCGAGAATTACGACCCACGGGGAAACGCTCAAGCTGATGCCTAAACGTTTGCGGCTAAGCGGCGGTAGCCGGATGGGTACCACTACCGGCCGAGGTTTCCGAACGTTTCACGTACCTCACGCCCAGAAGGCCTCGAAGGCAATAGTAAGACCATAGAGCCACTGGATCCAAAGGTGGGGCCCTGTGTTTAGCCCTGTGCTGGCTAAAAAGCGCGGGTATTGCGCCAGTTCGACAGCTGGGCGTACAAGAAATTTTCAAGGTTGCGACACTGTTTCGGCCCCGACAAAACAGGACCATCGGCAGCAGTTACCCCGCCGAAAAAGTCAGAGCTGAAGTTTTTGGTGCAGCTGTTGGAGTTTCTCCTAATTCAACGGTCTACCCGACGACGGTGTAGCAGCGAAGAAGGGGTTCCGAAGCTGTGGAATTTTTAAAAGCGATAGACGCGGTGGGCAACGAAGCCGCCGGCTCGACGGTTTGATCCGATAAACCTGATCCGGTTACGATAGCATTCGCGCCTTCACCGATGTCAGAAAAATCGCGGGCAACACGGAGTTATACCTCATCCGACAAAAGCGGACGCTGGGTGAACGGCGGCAAGCGAAATTGTCGGGGGGTGAAGACAAAAAAAAAAAAAAAAAAAAAAAAAAAAAACGGAGGGAAATTTGTGGGTGCTCCAGCAGATCTCCAGAGTGAAAGGTTGAGCCCGTACACCAATCCACCGCGAAATTTCGGAGTCTATTCGGTAGACCCCCGAAAGGGTTTGATATCGTTACATGGTGTCAGAATCCCAGCCACTAACCACTGGGATAAAAGGGCTTGTTTGTGTAGCGGGTGAGTGCGCCCATAACCCCCCAGGCCGACGTGCTTGTAACCCTTCCCTAGGATCAATCGGGGATCTCCAGTGGACCTCTGACACATGGAGTCGCGGCGAGCGGTGTATCGCCAAGGATACCTGGGATTCGCTAAGTAATTTCGACGGGTGCGAAGACGGGTGAACGTCGGAGTACCAGGGTTAACGGCGGAAACGTCGGGGTTACGCGGCGGAAAATACTTCGGGACTGCTTCAACAACCATGATTTTCGGGCTTCTTTCCTACGGTGGGAGACGGGTGAACGTCTGCTCGCCAGCTGTTTCTGCGTTTTACGGTGTACTTCGAAGCCATCTTGGGAAATTCTACGGCGAGATCTGCGGCGTTGATGCGGGCTAGGTTCCGTGAAATTCGGTCCCGGTAGACCCATAGTTCTGGGTTCCGCACAAAAAGAACCTCCTGTTGGTGGGTTGCTAGTCTGGTTAACCGCAGTATTTTCAAATGGCGACGGGTGGGCACGCTAGATACACCGGTTCTTCAAGGGGATAACCTGCAGGTGACCAAGACGTACGAGTATTTTTCGGCACCGACACTTACGGGGTTTCAGCAGCAGTACTGGGAGCTGGGTCTTAGCGAAATTCGGCAACAACGGTCGGCGGTTCCGTGCGAAACGGCGGGGATGCAGTGGTGCTTGGTTAAGCGTGCAAAACCGACGGGAACAAGATTGGCCGTTAATTCCGACTTCGTCCGGGGGTTCCAGCCGCAACACGAGGGAGAATTTTGCAACAGGTGGGGGGGAGAAGGCGACAGCTGTTTTCACCCCTGCCCGGAGGTTTTCGGCGAGTCACGACAACGTCGCCGGCGAAGCTGACGTCATCTGCAGTACAAGTTTGAGTTTGGAAAAAAATACTGCAGGCGATCAGGGGGGAGTGCAGCAGCTGTTTTCGCCCCTGCCCAGGAGTTTTCGGAGAAAAGCGCCAAAAAAACTCGTCGAGTCAGGACAAGACTGCCGGAGACGCTGACAGCCGGAGAAGCTGCAGCGAGGATTCCGCCACATTTTCGGAACGACAGCAGCAAAATTCGAATGTCAAATGCTGCCAGCTGGGGATGCTGCAACAGTCGGCGTTAATGCAGCCACGACAACAAGACAACGGCAGCAGCTGGCGAACGAAGATACTGCAGCAGCAGCGTGATTCGATGCTGCCACGCGGTGATTCTGGGTGACAGCCGCTGGATTTGCTGCAGCGGCGGACGGAACAAAAAGACAACAAGAAGATTTCATCGCGGGAATTTACGATGGGCTTCGACGGTGTTTACCCTGGGTATCTTTCCGAGTCTTCGACGGTGAATATTTCGCCACCGACAGCAATTTCGACAAACAGTGGCTGAATTTCAGGCGGGAGGTTATAACACTTGGTATTTTGTTCTACCCTCGGCGTCAGGGTGGTTGTGGTTTTCTACCCGCGCAGCTGTGCAGGTTCTGGTGGGCAGTCATTTTCAAAGGAGGGGGGGAGAGAGTGCTGTCGCACTGTATTCCCTTGGCAGTCGCTGACATTTCTGTCAGACTCGAGCAGCACGAGGGACGTTCGAGATCCATTTCAGCAACATCGACGGTTTCTGCTCATCGCCCCCTGACATCGTGTCAAACTTCCCGCCGGCATTACGTTCAGATGCACCGTCCGATATACATCCGCGACATCGACGGTTTTCCTTCGTCGACCGATTTCCAATCGACATTCGCTTTCAACCGCCCGATCGACATCGGCAAAATCTATGGCTGACATTCCAACTCTTTGAATTTCGCCTGGTCAACGCGCTCAGCCACGCGTCAACTCGAAAGTCAACACGCTTCCGCACCGTCAGATCGGTTTTCGATCGAGATCTGCAGTTTTCACGCTACTGCAAGACTCGCCTACATATAAGGGCGCCTTACTTAGAAGGTGGGAGAGTGTAATGAATGTGCAATTCATTACTGTAGAACTGTCCTTAGCGAGGACAGCCCCGAGCAGTTCGCGTCAGTGTGGCTCGGCCTACACTTTCGCACCGAACCAGCCCCGAGTCGCCCCGCACCAATTGCGACATTCCCGAGCCACGCACATCGAGGTCCTCGCCTAGCACGGTTTCGACCCTATAAATGCTCGCTTCATTATCATTCTCAGGATTTCTGTAATTCTCATCCTTTTTATAAAGTCTTCCGCGCACTCTTCTTAGTACAACTCATAAACTCATAACATCCAGCACATTTAATCTTATGCGAAACTTCAATCTCGAGAACTGCACGTGGCGCTCAGCTGAAGCTCGCCTCGTTATCCGCCACCACACACATCGAGCGAGCTGCGGCACGCCCACGAACCGTCACCGCCAGGTCGTCAGTTCCTGAAGCATCTTCAGATGACGTGGCACTCTTGGTGCAGAAGTGAATTCGGAGGAAAGCTCACCATACTTCACCGTATCATGTCTTACCAGAACGTACTCTACCACATACCCACCCTTCTCACCTCCGGAGTTCCTTGGGTTGCTGCTGCCAGTGGCAGTAGTAGAAAGGTATGGAGTTCTTCTGATGCCCAGTGCTGCAGCAGATGATCCTGAATCCTGATCTTTCTTTCGCACTTCCTTTCGTCCTGTGACAGGGAGAGTTCAGTTGTGTCCAACGCACACAGCGCAGGAGAATCTTATCATTCACTCTCTCGGGCAACGCTTTTCAGTCGCAACGCACTTCGTGTCATCCACATTCCCTCATTCAA